ATGATGATGATGATGATGATGATGATGATGATGATGAGGATGAGGATGAGGATGAGGAGGATGAGGATGAGGATGAGGATGAGGATGAGGATGAGGATGAGGAGGAGGAGGAGGAGGAGGAGGAGGAGGAGCGGGAGGAGGAGGAAGAGGAGGAGGAGGGGCGGAGTTCTCAGTCCCCGCCGAGAGAACCAGGGGGTGATCCTCAACACGACAGACCTCGGGCCATCTGCTTGCCCGACTCCGAGAAACGTCGGCTACCTGTGAAGCGCGGGCAGCCCCGGCTGCACGGCGCGGGGGCGGCGGGCCCGCGCCCGGCGTCGGCCGCGGGGGCTGGCGGCAGCCGGCGCAGCCGGGCGCACGGGCCAGCGGGCGTGCCCTCGGCCTGGCGCGGGGGGCGCGGGAACACAGCGTGCCCCTTATCCCCCTCCTCCTCTTCCCCCTCCTCCTCCTCCTCCTCCTCCTCCTCCTCCACCTCCTCTTCTCCCTCCTCCTCCTCCTCCTCCTCCTCCTCCTCCTCCTGCCTCCTCCTCCCCCTCCTCCTCCTCCTCCTCCTCCTCCTCCTCCTCATCCCCCCTCTCCTCCTCGAACCTTTCTCTCCTAGCTCCTCCTCCTCCTTCTTTCCCTCCTCCTCCGTCTCTTCCCACAGAAGGGCCACGAGGGGCCGAAAAGGGCGACAAGCCTCAGGCATTTGACTTCGTCGGCGCCTCGGAAACCTGGGCTTCCCGCGCCGCGGCGGCCAGGCCCTGCGGGGCCACCGCGGCAAAACCCCGCGGGGCCCTGCCCTGGGCGGGACGGGGCCACGCCGGGGCCCCGGCTCGGTCCCAGCTCCAGCTGCGGTCTCCGCACCGACCCCGGCCTTGGCCCTGGCCTTCTGAGTAGCCCAAGAGGCGTCCGAGTTGGTTCAAGATGTAGCCTCCAACACACCATCAAGAGGCCCTCAGCCCAAAGCAGGGCACAAATCTTGGGCCCCATGAAGTCACGGAAGCATCCACCCCGGACTTGGCTTCGGCCCCGATTCTCACACCCATGCAGAGGATCATAGAAACCGGGACTCTAGGGGTGTGATTAAACATTCCCCAGCAAGTCGCAAATTGTATGGTAGACGGATGCCATGCTCGCTCTGGCGGGATACTCTATCTACGATTGGTACTTGCCGCAGTGATAATGGAATTTGGCGTCTCCGCCCCACCACCGAAGAACAAAAGTGCTCGCGCCCAAGATGATCATGACAAAACGGCGACAGCGGGGGGGCAAGCTTCGTTATCTGGGGCGTGACGTGAAAGGGGTCCGGACTTGCACGACTGAGCCGACGCAACTCACAGGATGCCCCGTGCCTGAACACCTCCTGGACTCTCTTCCACACCTACATCCCCGATGTGCTCCAAAGCTCTCACGGAAATCAAGGTTCAAGTTGAGCGAGCAACGACATATGTACATGTACGCCCTCCGCGATCTTGAGTGCACGAACGTCCTCGTTCAAATGCCCTCCAGGGGAAGCTAACCGCGTACGTGTACATATGTTGCTGGCCTCTGACAAGTGTGCCTGCACCTATCTTAGACAGGCGGCGGTCCTGACTGTCTCAGCGCGTCGTCCCCGGAGATCCTGGGAAATGGCGGCCCGTGGCCCCGCGAGGGACCCCGGAGGCCGCAGATGGTCGAAAACCGGAGGCCGCTATGACGACTGGATCATATCTGGGTGTGCTGATGGGCGCGTTTTCCACCACCACCACAATAAGCTGGAGGGGGGAAGGAGGAGGACGAGGAGGAGGACGACGAAGAAGAGGAGGAGGAGGAGGAGAAAGAGGACCCCCTCCCCCTCCAACCTATGGTGATGGTGGTGGAAACCGAGCCCGTCATGTGCGTCTGCATGTGTCGACTAGACTCTGGAGAGACAAGAGTACCACTACCACCAGCTAGGGGGGTGGCAGCTCCCTCCCCTCGAGCTGGTGGCACCTTCTTCTGGGAACTCTCCGGAGGCATGCCTGGAACGAGATGCCACCAGCTCGAGAGGGTGGGACAGCCTCCCCCCTAGCTGGTGGTAGTGGTATTCTTGTCTCTGGTGATAGACGCAGGAGTGGCCTTTGGTGCGGGCACAGATGGGTCTCCAGATGGCTGAAAACAACAGAGTCGCAGCTGCTTGCGCGCCCAGGTTTGGTCCCCCCGCGGCCCCCCCAAAGCCGCGCGCCAAAGGTCACTCTCACCATCGGTCACTCTTCCGCATTGCCGAATCTATTGTTCTTTCCTGCATCTCGGCACCCCGGCGCGACGTCGCCCGCCACCCAGAAGCGCGACGCGCGCGGCGCAAGGGCCACCGACCGTGGGGCCTCCAAAGGAGCCGCGGGGAAAGCGCCGCCCAGAAGCGGCGGGGCGCGGGCAGGAGGAGGCGAAGGGGGCGGCCCCTCATCAACCCTCTTCTGATTATTGCCCCATTACCCCTCTTCTCATTATTCCCAGATCCCCGTCTCATTATCCCTATAATGAGAAGAGGGATGATGGGGCGGATGACAGCGCAATAATGAGAAGAGCGGTGGGGGAAGCGCCCAGAAGCGGCGGGACGCGGGGAAAGCGCCGCCCAGAAGCGGCGGACCTCTGCGGGAAATGGACCGTCGCTTGACTAGGAAACTCCCGCTCCCCCCCCCCCCTCTGGGAAACCGGTGGCGGAGGGAGGAGGGAGGGTCAAATTCCTCCCCCCCCCCTCCCCGGGAACCGACGGGCGGGAGAGGGGGGGTACTGGGCAAGGTGGGGGCGGTACCCCCCTGCCTGGACACCGGGGGGCGGACCAGAAGGTCCCCCCCCCCCCCGGGGGGGGGGCTCCTGGGGTACCTCCCCTGCTTGGAATACCGGCCAGAGGGGAATGGGCTCCGTCCAGACTTCCCCCCCCCCTCGAACCGGAGGCGAGGGGGACGATTCCCTCCCCTCCATTAACTCGGAACAGATGTTGAGCTTTGTTGAGGTTTTGATTGAGACTTGGTTGATCTTTGCATTAGCAATGTTTGAGCATGGGTGGGGCACTACTTGAGCTTGGTTTTGTCTTTGACATCTGGTTGGGCTTTGTTGGAGCTTTGTTGGAGTTGTATGTGAGCTGTGTCTGAGCTTTTGGTTGAGCTTTGATGGAGCTGTGCTTGCCTGTTGTTGGAGCTTTACTTGAACTTCGTTCGGGCGTTGTTTGAGCTTTGCTGGAGCTGTGTTTCAACTTTGTTGGACTTCTGCTTGAACTTATATGTGAGTTTTGTGTTAGCTTTGTTTATGCTGTGTTGGGGTTGCGTTTGAGCTTTGTTTGACCTGTGTGGAAGCATTACTTGGACTTTGTTTTGGCATTTCATTTGAATGTTGTTTCAGTTCATGTTGACCTTGTGTTTGGTGTTGTTTCAACGATGTTTACACTTTGGTTGAGCTTAATTTGAGATTTGGTTGTGCTTAGCTTGAGCTTTGTATGAGCGTTGCTTGAGCCTTGCTTGGGATTTGCTTGGGTTTTGTGTGGGCTTTGTTGGAGCTTGTTGTCAGCGAAGCTGGCGCGGCTGTCCAGCATAACGCGGACAATGCGCTCGTCCGCCCGCAATGCTGGTTCGAATTCCTGCGGGGATGCGGCCGTCCTCCCCGCCCCACCGGTCCCAACTGGGAGGGGGGGGAAGGGCGTCCCCCCCATCCCCGGTTTGAGCCCGCCCCTTCCCCCAGCCCCAATGGGGGGAGGTGGTGGGGGGCCTGGGACGTAACGGCCGAAAGCGTTTTGTCTTATGCCGCTGCACGCACCGTGACCCTACGGAGAACCCGAGCGGATTCACACACACACACACATATATATATATATATATATATATACACACATGCTTGCCCCCCCCCACATGATCATACATATGCTCCCCTCCCTCATCTGCTCCCCGCTCTCCGTCGCTGTTCCTCATCCTTTTATCATCCTGACGATGATGACGATGATGATGGTAATGATGCTGAGGATGCTGATGATGATGACGATGATGATGACGACGATGATGATGATGACGATGATGATGACGATGACGATGATGAGTAGGAAGAGGAGGAGTAGGAAGAGGAGGACTGCAGAGGATGAGTAACTAAACATGCTGAGAAATGATGATGAACAGAAGGGGATGGGGAGCTAGGTTAGATGAGCGATTCCAGTTATCATTCATGTCACCTTCATTCATTGTTGGTATATTTTTTTGCAATCGAGGTCCAAAACGCCCCCTGAAGCGCCGCTGGCGCCAGGCCGCCATGGGTAATCCTCCCAAGGGCTCGGCCGAGCACCAGCGCAAGCTGGAGGCCAACTACAAGTACAACCAACGCATGAAAACGCTATGTCTTCTTCAAACGAGACAGTTCCCTCAATGGAAATGAACCCTTCTAGGGGCGTATGAAGAGGGAGCTTGGAGGGAGGGATATTCCAACATCGCTGATGACTCTCGAGTGTCCACTGGTCCTCCTCCTCCTCCTTTTCCTCCTCCTCCGCCTCCTCGTCCTTCTCCTCCTCCTCCTCCTCGTCCTCCTCCTCCTCCTCCCCCTCCTCCTCGTCCTCCTCTTCCTCCTCCTCCTCCTCCTCCTTCTCCTCAGCCTCATCCGCCTCCTGCTCTTCCTCCTCCTCCTCCTCTTCCTCCTCCTCCTCAACCTTCTACTCCTCTTCCTCTTCCTCCTCTTCCTCGTCCTTCTCCGATAGTAGCAGTACTATTATCATGAATACTCATAGTATTCGTAATATTAGTGTTAGCAGTGGTATAAACATTACCAATGTAACATTTCAATTTTTAGTGTGATTCGTAGTCGTAGCAATATTAATGTTACTACTGTTGCTATAAGTATTATTAGTATGTTGAGTATGAGTATTACGGATAGTATGGTTTCGTATCTTCGTTCGTCGTGTATTTATTCGCCGTGTTATTACGACCATTGTTACCCTTAGAACTACAATTGGTATTGTCCCTGGCTTTAGTAGTAGTAGTAGTAGTAGTAGTAGTAGTAGTAGTAGTAGTAGTAGTAGTAGTAGTAGTAGTAGTAGTAGTAGTAGTAGTAGTAGTAGTAGTAGTAGTAGTAGTAGTAGTAGTAGTAGTAGTAGTAGTAGTAGTAGTAGTAGTAGTAGTAGTAGTAGTAGTAGTAGTAGATTAGTAGTCGCAATGCCGATCATTTCTCGCAGGTCTTCGAAGGCGTTCGAAGAGGAGGGGGAGGAGGAGGAGCAGAGCAGAGCAGCACCGATGATCCGATGAATCCACACGCCCCAAACTACCGCGCCTGCAGAGCCCAGGAAGACAAAAAACGGATCAGGTGTTCGAGAACCACTTGAAGGGCCCGAGAATCTGTGGGGCCCTGCAGGGGGATGCCTCTGGCAAAGCGAGACCCTCAGAAGGGAACGCCGGGAGGGCTCGCCTATGC